CGTTAAAGAAATGGGTCATCTCTTATCGTTGGTAATTACTGACTTAGTAATTTGATCGTTATAGAGGATCTCCGCTTGGTAAATAGCAGTAAACGGATTAAATTTACGAATATTTTTATTCACTCGTAGGATTTATAGACTCCTAGAATGATTTTTGATATATATATTTATATATAACACATTATTTTTTCTTTTGCACACACACACACACACACACACACACACACACACACACACACACACACACACACACACACACACACACACACACACACATACACACACACACACCCACGCACGCACGCACACACACACACACACACACACACACACACACACACACACACACACACACACACACACACACACACAAACACACACACACATTAAAATATCATTAAGCAACATATCAAATATACGATATTTAACACAAGCGCTATGATGAAGCAAAAAAATAAAAAAGCGAAGAATTAGCGGAATGAAGTACCAAATCATTTAAAGTATACTTGAAATTTAGGTAAAGTCTATAGAAATCTACTGTATCAAGTAATTTATTGAGCCATTTTTCCAACAGTTACGACTTACGCGACGTTTTTTGTATTTCTTATCTTCAAGTTGCTTTGATTTTAACTAAAGTGTTTTTTAGCTGAAGTGCAAAATTGATGCGCCAAGGATATGCACGCAGAACAAGGCCGGTTGCATGGGAAATGTTATTATCTTAGAGACGCCTTTCTCGCATATAGCTTTACGTTATACTATCACACACACACACACACACACACACACACACACACACACACACACACACACACACACACATATATATATATATATATATATATATATATATATATATATATATATATACATATATATATATATATATTACATCTGTGCACGCATTTGTGTGTATGCTTGTATATGCTCTAGTCCTTGTGCGTGAAATTGTACATATATATATGCGTGTGCGTTCATGTACACCCACTATCGCATACAACTCTACACACATACGCACACATAATACTGAATAACCCATACTTCATCAGAGCTGATAGCTTTATACCTATTATCATCTGCTTTTCCTGGCTTATACCCAACGACACAACAGCCCCTAATAGTCAAGCCGGCGCGCCAAAGACCTCAACGATAGACTATAACAAAGAGAGAGATTGCGATGTCATAAAACGAACGTAAAGTCGCTATAACGAAAGGTTGTCGCGAGTGCCTTGTTGATTGCCAAGATTTGATGGAGGGAAAGAGGTTTGAGGAGGAGGAGGGTGAAGATGAAGTGGGAAGAAAACAATGATGATGATGATTATGGTGGTGAAGATGAAGAAGGATGAAAGTGACGATGATTATGGTGATGGTGATAATGATATTAAAGAAAATAATAACAGCAATAATAATGATGATAATAATAATAATTTTAATAAGATTATGATAATGAAATAATGATAATGATAATACATTCTCCCCCCAAAAGTATAAAATAAATGACTGACTATGAATAGAGAACTTGAAAATATATAAATATACATATATATATATATTTATATATATATAAATAGGTATATGCATATATATATATATATATATATATATATATATATATATATATACATTACTTTATATGTAAGCCATATACAAAAATACATAATTACATTGTTAGAAAAGAAGACGATGATGACAACAGAAAACGGAAACTGTAATTACCTTCGTGATAACCTAGACCTGAATAGCAATTTAAGATGATTAGAAAAAAATGACAAGTGCTCCTTCGATTTCCAAACTTTAATGGGAAAGAGACTGTAAAAGAAAAAAAAAGTGAGAATAAGAAAGGGAGACAGAGAGAGTGCGAGACAGAAAGAGAGAAAGTGCTAGACAGAAAGAGTGAGAGACAGAGGGAGGGAGGGAAGGAAGTAGAGAGAGAAAGAGAGAATGCGAGACAGAGTGAGAGAGAAGAACAACAGAGGGGGGGTGGAGACAGACAAAGAGACGAATCCAGAGACAGCGAGAGAGAGAGAGAGAAAAAGACGAAGATCTAAAAAAAACACCATCCATCCTCATCATTTCTCTCTAAGACAGCGTCCAGTCCCGCACACAGGGAAAGACTCCCGGACGAAGGAAAGATGGCGCTGTGTCCGAGGCTGTGATTGGCCGGTGCACCCTGTGCGATTCCTCTTGGTGGCTTCATTGATCTACAGAAAGGGTTGCATCTGCCACATGTCTCGGAGGCTGGGAATGGACGATCGGACCTTATTACACTTATGGTGACTGCCGTAAGGTTAATTTCGTAAAAATAACCCTTTTGTATGACTGTATTACGGGGAAAGGAAGGCCGAGTCAGAACTTCGTTTGAAGTTTCAATTGAGTTTATCTCTTTTTTTGTTTTTATTTCCTTTCTTTCTTCCCCTATAGAGGAAAAAGAGAGAAAGTAATAAGTGTAGTAAAATGAGTGACAAAAACTAAACAGGTCGTCCGCATTTCGCACTGCAAAAGAAAATATATAAAAGGTAGATGTGAAACGGCGTAACAAAAGAGCATCGAGCCACTGGAACGATATGATTTAAGAAGAGCTTGTTTAGACATTGGATACATGTATTTATAGGTGAAAGCATGATCCATGAGCGAAAAAATGAATAGTTTGTTTTGATTGCCGCTTCATCGCAAATCCTAATGTTTTGGGTGCAACTGAGTGGAATAAATTTCCCTAGGGCGTTTACAATGAGTAAATTTTATTCCCTGATTGGATTTCTAATGCGAATATCTAAACAAAACAAAGGAATAAAAATGGTGCACACACACACACACACACACATATGTGTATGTGAGCACGAAAAACAACTATAACTAATACACACACACAGACATATATACACACATTAACACACACAGGCATATATACACACACATAAACACACACACGCACATATATATGTATACATAATATATATAAATGTACGTATTTTAGTATGTATGTATATATGTATATGTGTGGCTTATATATATACATACGTATATATATATATATATATATATATATATATATATATATATATATATATATATATATGTATATATACATATACATATATATATATATATATATATATATATATATATATATATATTTATATATATATATATATATATATATATATAAACACACATATTATATATACAATTATATATATACATGTGTTATTTTCACATCCACTTTTCGAATTCATTGCTATTGCGAAGACTCTTTTCCGGCGGCAGTTACGGTGTTGCGCGACGTCTCGCGACACCCAACACTTGTCTCGTGGTCGGAGGCGAGACAGGCCGCAAGCTCCGCCCACTAGTGTGACGTAATGGGAATGGCCGCGGTTGACGGCTAGCTGTTTTACTGTAATGGTTATTTTTTCGACTAGTACACATTATTTTGTAATATAATATCCTTGGTGATTTTTTGAGATCTTATGGTGGGTTGTAATGTGATACAGATACCCAGTATAAATACAATTTTGCATGATAATAACCGAGGCAGCTCTGTAAATGTTTACCAACCATTCAATTATTGTCGTGGGAGGTGTCGCGTAACTCGGAAAAGATGGTTCTATAGATATTACTGAAAATTCAAGTATATTTTAGATTACTAAGTACTTCATTCCACCAATTTTTCACTTTTTAGTTTACTTACTTCATCATATAGCGTATGTTGTATATGTCATAAATTTGATGTTGTTTGATATTACAATATGTACTATATATATGTATATATAGATATATATATAAAGATAGATAATGACATCAAATTACTAAGTAATTACCAAACGATAAGAGATGACCCATTTCTTCTACGCTAATTTCTCAGTGCTAACTAATCTCATTGAGTCAATATGCTGACACGCTTCATGCGCCATGCTGAAGAATTAAAGAATGCTTATTGTATATTACATATCCTTAGATCCTGCGATAGTTCTAGTAACAGGATCGATGTCACATTAAATTATCATTTTTATGTGTTTTACTTATATAACATACAAATTCTTAAAATATGTTTAAAAGAATATATGATAAGTGACTAAAATCTATCATAATCAAAATATAAGCTTAGTAAAGATACCAAACAGACATAATTTATCCTCAACGATGATGTAATCATTAATCGTTGAAATTATAATTATTCAAAATCCTATCACACCCTATTAACACCCAATAGTGATATTCAGTCAATATTTCGTATCCATTGTCTTCCTATTAAAATCTAGCATTTGACAAGGATTTGTGATAAAGTGCCTATTTTTCCCCATCAGTGAATCAAAAATCATCTACGGTTAAACTCCTTGATTATCTCCTTTCATCTGTGAAAAAAATGACGAAAGATCCTCTCTAATGAATAAATAATGAATCTGCTATAGATAACTTCATCAAAAGAATCACGGGATTGAAAAATATATTGGATTTCTTTTAATTAAACCGTATTCTTTCGACGTCGATGTAGGGTAACTTGGGAAATTACATAATATACACAAACTCATGTTCTATGGAAGCATTAAGAAAAGCAAACGTTATTTCACCTACAGAATTATCAGTTTTGTGACTAAACCCTCACATCTTTACACCATCATATTACTATAATTAAGTTACCATAGCCACTAACTTTCTCATATTTATGGTGCTGACAAAGTTACCACCTTGATTACTGTATTTATATTGTATTCTCTTCACTATACCCAACTATAATCATACATCATTGCACACTGATTGCTTTCAGTTGCCATTTCCTGATGCCACTATATCATTACGGACTTGATCCACATATATTTACACTAGCCATTAACTATTGCCCATTGGGTATGGTGTTGTTAACTATCGAAATAAAAGTACAAGCCTTTATTACTTACTTACTGACTTGTGTATCTATCATCCTTTCATTCACTTATGTTTTTTTTTTCGAGTTAAAGCCTAGATACTCGTTATTATTATTATTTTTTATGGCTAAAAAATAATAATAA